GGAAAATAAAGTCTTCCCTGCGAGGCTCCTGAGACCCAGCTGCAGGGATGTCTTCCGGGAAGGCAGGCATAAAAAGAAGAAAAAACCTCCTGAAGGATTGTCAAGTAATCTAAGCTCATCCAACGATCCATTAGCACATAAAATATGTAACCTGAATTACATTCGGTATCAGTGTGATGTGACTGTAGGAGTTTGGAGGGGCAGAGCTGTAGGGGTTGGATGGACCATCGCAAAGTACTGGGGAAATTTGGTCACACACAGGTGGTTTTTAGCATGTGTCCTTGACAAAAACAGACTACAACAAAAGGAGAATTAGGCATGAATAGTGCTGCTGCTCATGATTTCATTCAGTGAGCGGCATCAGGAGGGGGAGGGGCCAATCTGGTGGTCTCTAAGAGGGTCTTATCTTCCTCCAGGCCTCCAGTGGGGTCAGCATCGGGCCACCCCGAGTGTGTAAAGGGAATCATTCTTCATAGACAGGACCCTGCACTTACTGTACAACCCAGCAAGCCCACTCGGAGGCATTACCCTAGAGAAAACGAATGCCTCATAAAAACCTCTGTGTGAATGTTTTTAGTCACTCTGTCCATCAACCTAAACTGGAAATAATCCAGATATCCTCCCAAGGTTGAATGGCTAAAACAGGGTCACTAGGTGGAAGCCAACCTCAACTGGTGCTTGACCAAGGAGGCGATAGGCCATGGTCATTTTGAGCAAGCTAGGGTTATTAAGTTACAGATTGTATGATGAATCATCCTAAGCCTTAGAGGCCTACAACAGCAACAATGGCATATTTTGCTCAGGAATCTTCAGTTTTGGCAGGTCTTGATGGAAACAGCTTGCCTCTGCTCCACATGGTGTCAGTGGCTTAACTGAGGCAGAGGCCCAACTTCCAAGATGGCTCACTGGCAAGGTAGCTGGCATGTTGGTGCTGGCTCTGGCTTCCTCTCCACATGGGCCTCTCTTTGGGCTGCTTGGGCTTCCTCCTGGTGTGCTGGCTGGCTTCCAAGAGTAGGCATCCCAAGAAGCAGGCAGTGGATGCTCCCAGTTTCTTAAGTCCCAGATCCAGAAGCTAGCTCTGTGTCACTCCGCCCTGTTCTATTGGTCAGGCAGTCATGGAGCCCAGATTCAGAGGGGGGTGATATAGACCACATCTGAGCAGCAGGCATGTCAAAGGATTTGGGGAACACATTGAAAAAACCATCACCTTCTGCCCTGCTAGGGACTTTGACCCCCGAGGAAGATGTGCCTGAATGGCTGCATGAGGGAATGTACGGCCACACCAGAAATCATCTTGCCTGCACCAGGCAAGGCTGTTCACTTCACTCTTTCCTCTTCTCAAAGTCCCCTACCCAACCTTTGCCCCAAGCACCTTGTGGGATTCTAATATGAGCATGATTTGGGAGCTTCCTATAGTGAACAGTAAATTTACAAAACTCTATAGTAATGTAAGGCACTATTATATATCTTACTAGAGGCCCGGTGCATGAAATTCATGCACTTAGTGGGGTCCCTCAGCCTGGCCTGCACCCTCTCGGGGGAGCCCTCAGGGGATGTCCGACACCTTTAGTGCTGTTGCAGAGGTGGGAGAGGCTCCTGCCATCGCTGCTGCGCTCGCCAGCCATGAGCCCGGCTTCTGGCTGAGTGGCACTCCCCCCATGTGGGAGTGCACTGACCACGAGGGAGCAGCTCCTGCTTTGAGCATCTGTCCCCTGGTGGTCAGTGCATGTCATAATGACAGGTCATTCCACCATTCGGTCAATTTGCATATTAGCCTTTTATTATATAGGATTTTTCCTCCTCCTGTACACTACATTTTTGTGACTTGTTTCAGCATAGTAGTGACTGAATATAGATATTTTGGGAATGACATAAAAGTCTTCTCTATTTTGACAGAGGTGGGGGTTGGTTTGAAATGAAGGAATGAACTGAAAGGAATACATGTGTGCCAGTACTGGGGCCCTGGACACAAGAGTAAGAGGTACAAATTCACACTAAGGTTTTTTGTGTGTTTTTTAAAAATATATTTTATTGATTTTTTACAGAGAGGAAGGGAGAGGGATAGAGAGTTAGAAACATCGATGAGAGAGAAACATCGATCAGCTGCCTCCTGCACACCCCCCACTGGGGATGTGCCCGCAACCAAGGTACATGCCCTTGACCGGAATCGAACCTAGGACCCTTCAGTCCACAGGCCAACACTCTATCCACTGAGCCAAACTGGTTAGAGCCACACTAAGGTTTTGGTGGCCAGTAACTTCTTCTCGTATCTCCCTGTCCAGAGAGAGCTGTGCTTTAAGAGCCGTTGCTTAATCAGCGTTGCACACACTCCAAAGAAAGGCATCTCTAAAGTTGGAGACCCCAATGAGTCACTGATATTACAGTTTTGCTACTGTTTGGCACTGTTTCTCTTTTCTTTGTCTGATCACATAGATGATTTGCCTAGAGCTGCATCATATCCTGTGAGACAAGCACAGTGTCATTTGGGGTGAACTTGGGCAGAGACTTCTAGTTTAGATTGAAACTTTAACTCAAAGTTTTAAATTGGGAGAGTTTCTCTAAGGCTCCTCGGCACACCTCCACCACCACCACCTGCCCCATCCTTGTCGGAGTCTTTCTTACTCACCTTGGTAACCCTCTCCTCCTTTTTTCCTGCTGTCAGGGAACCTGTCCTATAGCAAAGAAATTAAATCATACTAAAGTGTTAGTGGCTACCCGGGGCTTAGTTTGTTGCCCTTCCCATGGAGATATTGGTGGTTTCCAAGGAGATGCTGAGCTAGAGTGATTGTGATTTCAAAGAAATGAATCTCTAATGCTAGACCTTACCTAACAGGATAGCAAGAATGAGAGAGTTTTTTGAGGAAGAGGTTTCTTCCTGGAGATCCTCAAACACTCAGTCCTTCTTAGGAAGTGACTGACTTGGTGAGCCTCCGGGTTATTTCCAGTTCTATTCCTGTGGTAACAGTGCTCATTTCACCAGGGTTACCTGGTCCCTAAGACGTAGGAGCCTCCCATGTCCACTTCTCTTCTGCTTCGTTGAAGCAGATGCCAGCTGGCTTGCCTTTTAGCAGTTAAATATGCAGCCTCTGTACAAATCAGCTATTAAATCTGCAGAACTAGAGTATTTTACAAGTAATCAGTCCATGCAGATTGCACATAAATCATGTCTGCTCTGGCCCTTTGGACGCTAATGTTCCCTTATTAAGGCATAAGTAAGCCTTCCTGTTCTCATCCATCCTTCCAGACTTTTTTTAATTACTGAAAAGTATAGCCTGCTTGTCGCTACACCCCCCTCTTCCACACACGCCCCCCCCACCTTTTTTGAGGTTCATTTTGTTTTTCTGGAGCTTGCCAAATTGCCGTAGGAAGCTGGGTACCCCGTGAATGGATTGAGCAAAAGGAAATTCTTATCTCTAAAAGGAAGCGGTTACCACGTTTCTGTTTGTGATATTCTTGGCCAGTTAAAATTTCTGTGAAATATGTTCTGATGGCAGCACCAGTACCCCAGGGAGGGGGGAGTATTGGTCATGCTCGGTGCACAAAAAGGAAAATATCTTCCACTGAAGTCTTGGAGGTGGAGGGGGGGGGAGATAAATAAGTCATTTCATGAATGTCATTCTGCTCCAATACACAGAGAACTTGTGTTGCTTTTCACAGAAGACTGAAAGCTCAGCCACCCTAATATGCACATTATTTTAACATTTTCCCATTTTCTTTTCAAACTGTAGCTACACATCTTCACTCTAATATACTTGGATTTCTGCTTCCAATTTCGCCGGCCCTGCTATTAGTGTTCGGCCAGTTTTTCTTTTGGTCTGAAATGACTTTCTAGGAACATGGAAGCATAGTATTGTTCCTGTGGTTTGGTCTAAAGAAGAAAAATTCAGGGCCTTTACATCAGGCCCATAAAAATACTACCGTCTCCGTTTAGAGATGTTTTATGAATATGAATTCCTGTCTAAATAATTCCTGCTGAGGGTGGGAAGGACTTTGGAGTTTGGAAATTGTAACAACAACTTATTATTTTCTCTTAGCAAGCACAGCGAAGGTGACACATCTCTCTTGTGTTTTTTTTGTTTTTTGGGTTTTTTTTTTTTTGATGGGCTGACACCATAATGCACCGTATTGCTTTTTATTTTATTTTTTTAATTATTTTTTTAAAATATATTTTATTGATTTTTTACAGAGAGGAAGGGAGAGAGATAGAGAGTCAGAAACATCGATGAGAGAGAAACATCGATCAGCTGCTTCCCGCACATCCCCCACTGGGGATGTGCCCGCAACCCAGGCACATGCCCTCGACCGGAATCGAACCCGGGACCCCTCAGTCCGCAGGCCGACGCTCCATCCACTGAGCCAAACCGGTTTCGGCCCATATTGCTTTTTAGATCCTGATTTAAAATCACGTACCCAGATCATAGAACTGAGGCACTGTGAGGTGTTATTTTCCTCAGAGAGGGGGAAAAAGATAGAGAGCAGGTATGCTTTGGTGTCATTTCATAAATCACAGGATGGCTGGTGATGACATCTTAACAGAAAGAGGAGCCAGCCTGGGTACTGAGCGCTGGGCCGCCGGTGTTTGGGTCATATAGTAAACTAGAGGCCTGGTGCATGAATTTGTGCACCGGTGGGGTCTGGCTGGCCTGCCCCGATAGGGGCCGATTAGGCCAGGCTGGCCCAGGGGAGGGGATGCAGGAGGTTGGCTGGCCGACCCTGCCTCCATTCGGGGTGGGGGAGGCCAATTAGGGTTGAGTCGGCCGGGGGGGTGGGGCTGTAGGTGGTTGGCCGGCCGGCCCCACCCCCTGGTCGAACTCCCGGTCGAGGGGACAATTTGCAGATTAGCCTTTTATTATATAGGATAATACTCTAGATTTCATAAAGGCCGAGGTGCTTTATGTAGTCTTCAAAGAGATTATGCGGTCTTTTGTACTATGGTGTTTAAAAATAAAATCTCAAAAAACAATCCCCACCCCCCTCCTCTACTTCCCTTTTGTTGGCAGCTGCTGAGATGGGTTGCGGATTAAACAAGTTAGAGAAACGCGATGACAAACGGCCTGGAAATATCTATTCAACTTTGAAGAGGCCTCAGGTGGAAACCAAGATAGATGTGTCCTATGAATACCGCTTCCTGGAGTTCACAACCCTGAGTGCCGGTGAGTACAGCCACCCCCGTGTTCTGGGGACAGATGCGCTCCACCCTCGGCAGGGTCTGCAGCTGAGGCTGCCCCATCAGTGTGTGTGTGTGTGGGGGTGCTGACAAGGACATACTGGGGAGGTGGGCAGGGGGGAGGGCTGTGGGAAACTCTAAAGCAGTGGTTCTCAACCTTGGCTGCACATTAATCAGGATTTTAACAAGATTCCCGGGTGATTCTAATGTGCAGCCAAGGTTGAGAACCACTGCTCTAAAGGGTTGGCCTGCCCAAAGGGGACTGCTTACAGAAATCCATATTTTTTTGTGTGAAACCCTTTCACATTGTAAAAGATAGTAACTAATTAAAATGATAATCAATTAAAACCCTATGTGAGCCGACTGATACACATGAGTGGGCTGAACTTGCCCATGGGCCAACCAGTGTGCAGACCCTGCGTGATGCCAAGCCACGTGGAAAAGGAAAACGTGCCTCATCTCCTCGTACTAATCTGGCCATCCAGCCCAATTCCCCTGCCCATGGTTCCCCATCTTTCAAGAGTGCATGTCAGCCTGGGCTTTGCCTCACCTGAGCCAGGGAGTGTCCAGATCACCTGCCACCAGCAGCCTCCCTCGGGCACCGGGTGGCTGGCAGGTGACGGTCAGTGGTTTCCTCCCGGAGCATTTGCTGAGCGCTGAGCACTGGCCTTGCAGAGTGTCGGCTGGTGCTGCAGGGCAAGGGTTTCCTGGAGCCTCTTACCTGGAGGTAGAACAACTCATACACATGAGGTGAAAGCTCAGCACGTTATAATGCAAGTTGGAAAACACGTGAAGTATGTTTTTGGAAGAGGAAGGGAGCATTCTTCCTTATGGGGCAAGGAAGGGGGGTAGGGCCATCCCTGGATGTTGTGAGCATAAACCAGGTGCTACAAAACTAAAGCATCTTAAGATACTTCCTCCCTGGGTTTCTGAGTGTATTTTAAGCTTCTCGTAACAGAAAAGAGAATTAGTGGGACAAGGCCTCCTGTCTGTGGGTGTGAGTCCTGGCTCTGCTCTGGAGTCACTGGCCAATGGCTAGGCCTGCAGCATCCTCAGCTATCAGATGAGCACATGAATATCCACCTCAGGGCAGCTGTGATGGTTAGGAGAGGGAAGATCTGTGAAGCTCTTAGCACCATGTCTGGCACGTAGTAGGACTACTAGTAGTACTACCACTCCTCCTCCTCCCCCTCCCCCGCCATCTCCCTCACCCCACCTTCCTCTCTACTTATCCTCCCCCTTCTCCTCCACCCTCCTCCCCTTCTTCCCTTCTTCCTCCTCCCCTTCTTCCTTCTCCCCCACTGCTCCTGCTGCAGCCATCTCCCAGCTGAAGCTCCACCTGTTTCCCAAGCCCTGGGAAAGATGGACAGCCGGGTGTCTCTGTGTACCCCTCCAAGTCCCCCAAACTGAACCCAGCAATTTCCTCATCAGGTTGCTTTCCGCTGGCCTCTTAAATAGCCAGACTTGACGCTTTAGTTCCCTGTGACCATGCCCTCTCCTCACCCACAATTTCCATTCCGTCACCCAAGCCTATTAAAACTACTTCTAAAAATTCTAGAAATGCTTATAATAGAGCTAATGTAGCCCAAGCAAGTGCAAACACAAAATTATCTGGAATATCTGGTCAACCATTATTTGTTCAATGACTATTTGAGTGCCCACAACATTCTAGGCATTGTAGAATGATTAAGGAAAAAGAAACAAAAAAACAAAACCAAAAGCATGTATAGGGAGAAAGATTGGAAGGAAATGTATGGAGATGTTATAAATTGATTGTCAGGGTGTTGATATTATGGGGCGATTCTTTTTCCCCTTTTCACATATTTTTTTTGCATTGCAGTGTATTTCCTCTGTTATTAAGAAGGGTAATTTTTGCTGACCTCCTCTGTCTGCCCACTGCTTCCCCACTCATCCTCTGAATCACTTCCCTAACCTCCTAATCTGTCTCTGCTTCCTTATGCGCGTCATAGCACCCACACTCTATTTTCTTTGATTGAATTACCTCTTTTTCTGATTATAAAAGGAACATATGCCCATTATAAAATGTTAGGAAAGACATTAGAAAAATCCTAACTGGTCTCCCTGCTTCTGCCCTTGTCCCCCTACACCAGTGATGGTGAACCTTTTGAGCTTGGCGTGTCAGCATTTTGAAAAACCCTAACTTAACTCTGGTGCCGTGTCACATATAGAAATTTTTTGATATTTGCAACCATAGTAAAACAAAGACTTATATTTTTGATATTTATTTTATATACTTCAATGCCATTTAACAAAAAAAAAATCAACCAAAAAAATGAGTTCGCGTGTCACCTCTGACACGCGTGTCATAGGTTCGCCATCACTGCCCTACACTTCACATCACCCTTCTGCTCAAAGTCCTGCCATGGCTCCCCTCACCCTGAGTGACACTGGCCTCCCTGTGTCCTCATTCTCCTGCCATTTGTCCTGCCTGTCCTGCCACTGCAGCCATGCTGTTTCCCGGAGCCCCTAGGCCTCCTCCGGGCGTTTGCACTGCCTGTTTCCTCTACCTGGAAGTCCTCCCAGATATACCCTTCACTCAGACTCTTAACCCCCTTCTCTGTGGACTTTTCCCTGACCACCTACTTAAAATCTCCACCTACCCTCCAGCCCCCCATCCCTTCCCCCTCCATAACACGTCTTACCTCTTACGTGCTGTATGTTTTGCTTATTGTTATTTGCGTCCTTATTTGTTGTCAGTAGGAGGTGGAAGCCCTTCTACTGAGTGCAGTGCAGGGAATTCTGGCTATTTTATCCTGGGCTGTATCTTAGTACTTAAAACAATGCCTAGCACACAGTAGATATTAATACATATTTGTCGAATGAATACTCAATGTATATTTTTGTATCCTGCTTTTTTGCCACTTAACATTGTATAGTGAGGCATGCCCCCTGTCGTTCCATATCTCCCCAAAATATGATTTAATGGCTATACATGATTTAATCACTCAGCATACCATAATTTATTTAGCAGTCCCCTTTTATTGGACACTTAAGTTATTTTGGGCTTCGGGCTAATATAAATAATGTTGTGATAAGCCGTGCTGGACATAAATCTTTGTGCACATTTCTGATTATTTCCTCAGGAATTACTGAGTTGAAAGATACAAATGTCGAGACTCTTGACAAATTTGCTAAATGGCCCTCCAGCTAGGACCTGTTTGTGTAAAACACAGATCTGATCCTGCCGACCCCTGTGGCTGGTTCCCTGCCTGGATGAATGAAATGGAGCTTCCTGCTGGTGCTCAGGGCTCTCAGCTTGGCCTGGCCCTTTGCGGGCCCTCCCCCAACTCATCTCTGGGAGGACGTGTGCTGTGGCCCTTGGCCTTGCCTGCTTCCCCCGACCCCCTGCCCTTGCCCAGGACCCTCACTTCCCAGCTTCCGGACTAGCCCAGGGCCGGCCCCACCCCTCCCTGCTTACCAGAATCCCACCCATCTGCAATTGTTTCTTCTTGACCTCCATCCAGTCGGAATTACCTTTTTCTCTACACCAATAGTTTGTCAGTATCATCCTCTGATACTTTATTACATCATAGATTATACTTATTTGTGTTTCCTTGAGAGCAAAGACCAAGCCTTGCTCATCTTTCCAGTCTTCCTTCTCGTTCATGCTTCCTGAATAGCGTGCCCTGAATAGTCAGTCGTGTTCTAGTAAACCTTCAGAGTAAAGGCTGCGTATGCTGGCTCCTTTCCCTGGCAGCCTCTCAAGTCCTTTCTCAGAAGTCCTAATGGGATTGTTCGCTGTGGCTCCAGAACGGAGCCAACATTTCTCGAGAGCCTACTGTGTGCCAAGTCCTGTGAGGGGGCATTGCCTTCCTCACCCGATTTCCCCTAACTTTTCAACTTTGCTGAAGTATAATTTGAGCCCCTGACACTGCAGGGTCGTGTTAGGCCTGTGAAACCTTCATTTTGTCAAGATACAGAACCTTGCCATCTCCCCAAAGGTGTGCTCGTGCTCCTTGGGGATCCTTTGTCCAACCCTTTTGTCCCTAGACAACCAATCCTCTGCTCTGTCTCTGATTTTATTTACACAACTTTCTAGCATATTCTGGTCTGGCTTTTCCCATTCCATTGACTTATTTTGAGATTCATTTGTGTTGTTTGGTGTGTCTGTAGTTCACTCCTATGTTACCGCTGAGTTGTATTCTCATGTATGGATGTACCACAGTTTGTTTTGCTTTTCACCTATTGCTAGACATTTGGGTCATTTCTCTTTTGGGGTGATTACAAATTAAATTTGTCTTTGTGTGGCTTCTGACGTCATTTTATCCTCACAGTATCCCACTGAGGTATATAGTTCACTCCTATCTTTTTTTTGTTTTTGTTTTTTTTTTGCTGATGAGGAAACACTCAGAGAGGTTAAGTAACGTTTCTAAAGGTGCAGTGCTAGGAAGTGACTGGGGCAGAATTTGAACCTAGATCTCTTGGGCATCAAAACTCTTGAGCCTTATAAACCGCAGGGTGCTAGACAAATAGGTATTAACACCAGTTAGAACATTCTTGTTAGGAAACTTGTGTTATCATAAATCTTTGTGCACATTTCTGGTTATTTCCTCAGGAATTACTGAGTTGAAAGATGCGAATGTATCTTTAGAACATTCTCGTCAGGAAACTTGTGTTATCATGGAGAGGGACGTAAAAATGTCCCTCTTCCATGTGGTTTTGGCCATAGAAGATTTTCCAGTAGCACTGGATAGGCTTATTTTTCATAGAGAAGATGCTCATCTGACTTAACACATTGCCACCTGCGACCTCACTTGTAGGGCGGGCAGAGGCGACAAGCAGCAGGAATCTCACAGTGAAGCGCACAGCTGCCAAAAAATCTCAGTTCTGGGTGATGCGATCAGGTCTTACATTTTCAATTAACTCTGGTCACCGAGGGATGAACTCGCCCTTTGATGGGTTTCATCCCAGACGGAGGCCCATAAAGCATTACAATTTCCGCACAACGGTGCCTCTTTATCCCTT